TGGGGGATAGATTTACTTTGGGTCATAGAGGTGATTAGGGGAAAGGGGGTCTGGGGCGAAGGGGGGAAATGGGGTATGAGAGTTCTAGGGGGATGAGGGTGACATAGGGGTATGATGAGAGGTGACATAGGGGTGATGAGAGGTGACATAGGGGCGATGAGAGGTGACATAGAGGGTGACATGAGAGGTGACATAGGGGTGATGAGAGGTGACATAGGGGCGATGAGAGAGGTGACATAGGGGCGAGAGAGGTGACATAGGGGCGATGAGAGGTGACATAGGGGCGATGAGAGGTGACATAGGGTGATGAGAGGTGACATAGGGGCGATGAGAGGTGACATAGGGGCGACATGAGAGATGAGAGGTGACACATAGGGTGATGAGAGGTGACATAGGGGTGAGAGGTGACATGATGAGAGGGTGACATAGGGGCGATGAGAGGTGACATAGGGCGATGAGAGGTGACATAGGGGCGATGAGAGGTGACATAGGGGTGATGAGAGGTGACATAGGGGGTGATGAGAGGTGACATAGGGGCGATGAGAGGTGACATAGGGGCGATGAGAGGTGACATAGGGGCGATGAGAGGTGACATAGGGGTGATGAGAGGTGACATAGGGGCGATGAGAGGTGACATAGGGGCGATGAGGGTGACATGGGGCGATGAGAGTGACATGGGGAGAGAGGTGACATAGGGGCGATGAGAGGTGACATGATGAGGGTGACATGGGGCGAGAGAGTGACATAGGGGCGATGAGAGGTGACATAGGGGCGATGAGAGGTGACATAGGGGATGAGAGGTGACATAGGGGTGATGAGAGGTGACATAGGGTGATGATGAGGTGACATGGGACGATGAGAGGTGACATAGGGGAGATGAGAGGTGACATAGGGGAGATGAGAGGTGACATAGGGGCGATGAGAGGTGACATGAGGCGTGATGAGAGGTGACATAGGGGCGATGAGAGGTGACATAGGGGCGATGAGAGGTGACATAGAGGGCGATGAGAGGTGACATAGGGGCGATGAGAGGTGACATAGGGGCGATGAGAGGTGACATAGGGGATGATGAGAGGTGACATAGGGGCGATGAGAGGTGACATAGGGGCGATGAGAGGTGACATAGGGGCGATGAGAGGTGACATAGGGGCGATGAGGTGGTGACATAGGGGCGATGAGAGGTGACATGGGTGATGAGAGGTGACATAGGGGTGATGAGAGGTGACATAGGGGCGATGAGAGGTGACATAGGGGCGATGAGAGGTGACATAGGGGCGATGAGAGGTGACATAGGGGCGATGAGAGGTGACATAGGGGCGATGAGGTGACATAGGGGTGATGATAGAGGAGGGATGAGAGGTGACATAGGGGCGATGAGAGGTGACATAGGGGGTGATGAGAGGTGACAGGGCGATGAGGGGGGTGACATGATGGTGATGGGGCATGGGGACATAGGGGCGATGAGAGGTGACATAGGGGCGAGAGGTGACATAGGGGCGATGAGAGGTGACATAGGGGTGATGAGAGGTGACATAGGGGCGATGAGAGGTGACATAGGGGCGATGAGAGGTGACATAGGGGCGATGAGAGGTGACATAGGGGCGATGAGAGGTGACATAGGGATGAGAGGTGACATAGGGGATGAGGTGACATAGGGGGCGATGAGAGGTGACATAGGGGATGATGAGGTGACATAGGGGTGATGAGAGGTGACATAGGGGCGATGAGAGGTGACATAGGATGAGAGGTGACATAGGGGACATGAGAGGGTGACATAGGGATGAGAGGTGACATAGGGGCGATGAGAGGTGACATAGGGGCGATGAGAGGTGACATAGGGGCGATGAGAGGTGACATAGGGGCGATGAGAGGTGACATAGGGGTGATGAGAGGTGACATAGGGGCGAGAGGGGGATGAGAGGTGGTGACATAGGGGCGATGAGAGGTGACATAGGGACATGATGAGAGGGTGACATAGGGGTGATGAGAGGTGACATAGGGGCGATGAGAGAGTGACCTGAGTGATGAGAGGTGACATAGGGGCGATGAGAGGGTGACATAGGGGAGAGGTGACATAGAGAGGTGACATAGGGGCGATGAGAGAGACATAGGGGGTGATGAGAGGTGACATGAGGACATAGATGAGAGGTGACATAGGGGTGATGAGAGGTGACATAGGGGTGATGAGAGGTGACATAGGGGTGATGAGAGGTGACATAGGGGCGATGAGAGGTGACATAGGGGTGATGAGAGGTGACATAGGGGTGATGAGAGGTGACATAGGGGCGATGAGAGGTGACATAGGGGCGATGAGAGGTGACATAGGGGTGATGAGAGGTGACATAGGGGATGAGAGGTGACATAGGTGATGAGACATAGGGGCGATGAGAGGTGACATAGGGGTGATGAGAGGTGACATAGGGGCGATGAGAGGTGACATAGGGGGATGAGAGGTGACATAGGGGCGATGAGAGGTGACATAGGGGTGATGAGAGACATAGGGGGATGAGAGGTGACATAGGGGACGATGAGAGGGACATAGGGGTGATGAGAGGTGACATAGGGGTGATGATGAGAGACATAGGGGCGATGAGAGGTGACATAGGGGCGATGATGAGGTGACATAGGGGCGATGACATAGGGGGATGAGAGGTGACATAGGGGGATGAGAGGTGACATAGGGGCGATGAGAGGTGACATAGGGGCGATGAGAGGTGACATAGGGGCGATGAGAGGTGACATAGGGGCGATGAGAGGGTGATAGGGGACATGAGATGAGGTGACATGAGGGGGCGATGAGAGGTGACATAGGGGGTGATGAGAGGTGACATAGGGGCGATGAGAGGTGACATAGGGGATGAGAGGGTGACATAGGGGCGATGAGAGGTGACATAGGGGCGATGAGAGGTGACATAGGGGCGATGAGAGGTGACATAGGGGCGATGAGAGGTGACACATAGGGGATGAGAGGTGACATAGGGGCGATGAGAGGTGACATAGGGGTGATGAGAGGTGACATAGGGGCGATGAGAGGTGACATAGGGGCGATGAGAGGGTGACATAGGGGCATGAGAGAGTGATAGGGGTGATGATGGTGGGGATGAGGGGAGATGAGGGAGTGAGAGGTGAAGGGGCGATGAGAGGTGACATAGGGGTGATGAGAGGTGACATAGGGGCGATGAGAGGTGACATAGGGGGATGAGAGGTGACATAGGGGCGATGAGAGGTGACATAGGGGCGATGAGAGGGGCGATGAGGGTGACATAGGGGTGATGAGAGGTGACATAGGGGCGATGAGAGGGTGACATGAGAGGGTGACATAGGGGTGACATGAGAGGTGACATAGGGGCGATGAGAGGTGACATAGGGACGATGAGAGGGTGATGACATAGGGGCGATGAGAGGTGACATAGGGGCGATGAGAGGTGACATAGGGGCGATGAGAGGTGACATAGGGGCGATGAGAGGTGACATATGATGAGGTGACATAGGGGGATGAGAGGTGACATAGGGGCGATGAGAGGTGACATAGGGGCGATGAGAGGTGAGGGGCATGAGAGGTGACATAGGGATGAGAGGTGACATAGGGGCGATGAGAGGTGACATGGGGCGATGAGAGGTGACATAGGGGCGATGAGAGGGTGACATAGGGGTGATGAGAGGTGACATAGGGGACGATGAGAGGTGACATAGGGGCGATGAGAGGTGACATAGGGGCGATGAGAGGTGACATAGGGGCGATGAGAGGTGACATAGGGGCGATGAGAGGTGACATAGGGGTGATGAGAGGTGACATGAGGGGCGATGAGAGGTGACATAGGGGCGATGAGAGGTGACATAGGGGCGATGAGAGGTGACATAGGGGCGATGAGAGGTGACATAGGGGAGATGAGGGGCGAGGGACATAGGGGTGATGAGAGGTGACATAGGGGGATGAGAGGTGACATAGGGGTGACATAGGCATGAGAGGGACATGAGAGAGAGGTGACATAGGGGAGAGATGAGAGGTGACATGAGGGGATGAGAGGGACATAGGGGTGATGAGAGGTGACATAGGGGCGATGAGAGGTGACATAGGGGCGATGAGAGGTGACATAGGGGTGATGAGAGGTGACACATAGGGGTGATGAGAGGGTGACATAGGGGCATGAGGGGGTGACATAGGGGCGATGAGAGGGTGACATAGGGGACGATGAGAGGTGACATAGGGGTGATGAGAGGTGACATAGGGGCGATGAGAGGTGACATAGAGTGATGAGAGGTGACATAGGGGCGATGAGAGGGTGACATAGAGAGAGAGGGTGACATAGGGGCGATGAGAGGTGACATAGGGGTGATGAGAGGTGACATAGGGGCGATGAGAGGTGACATAGGGGTGATGAGAGGTGACATAGGGGTGATGAGAGGTGACATAGGGGCGATGAGAGGACATAGGGGCGATGAGAGAGGTGACATAGGGGCGATGAGAGGGTGACATAGGGGGTGATGAGAGGGTGACATAGGGGCGATGAGAGGTGACATAGGGGCGATGAGGGACATGACATAGGGGCGATGAGAGGTGACATATGGGGCGATGAGAGGTGACAGGGGGGCGATGAGAGGTGACATAGGGGCGATGAGAGGTGACATAGGGGCGATGAGAGGTGACATAGGGGCGATGAGAGGTGACATAGGGGCGATGAGAGGTGACATAGAGGACATATGAGAGGTGACATAGGGGCGATGAGAGGTGACATAGGGGCGATGAGAGGTGACATAGGGGCGAGAGGGTGACATAGGGGCGATGAGAGGTGACATAGGGGCGATGAGAGGTGAATAGGGGCGATGAGAGGTGACATGAGTGATGAGAGGTGACATAGGGGCGATGAGAGGTGACATAGAGGCGATGAGAGGTGACATAGGGGCGATGAGAGGTGACATAGGGGTGATGAGAGGTGACATAGGGGCGATGAGAGGTGACATAGGGGATGAGGGTGACATAGGGGCGATGGTGACATAGGGGCGATGAGAGGTGACATAGGGGCGATGAGAGGTGACATAGGGGCGATGAGAGGTGACATAGGGGGACAGATGATGAGGTGACATAGGGATGAGAGGGTGACATGGGGTGAGAGAGGTGACATAGGGGTGATGAGAGGTGACATAGGGGCGATGAGAGGTGACATAGGGGCGATGAGAGGTGACATAGGGGCGATGAGAGGTGACATAGGGGATGAGAGGTGACATAGGGGTGATGAGAGGTGACATAGGGGATGAGAGGGTGACATAGGGGCGATGAGAGAGGTGACATAGGGGCGATGAGAGAGTGAGATATAGGGGATGAGGGTGACATAGGGGCGAGAGAGGTGACATAGGGGTGATGAGAGGTGACATAGGGGCGATGAGAGGTGACATGAGGTGATGATGAGAGGTGACATAGGGGCGATGAGAGGTGACATAGGGGTGAGAGGTGACATAGGGGTGATGAGAGAGGTGACATAGGGGACATGATGAGAGGTGACATAGGGGCGATGAGAGGTGACATAGGGGCGATGAGAGGTGACATAGGGGCGATGAGAGGTGACATAGGGGCGATGAGAGGTGACATAGGGGCGATGAGAGGTGACATAGGGGCGATGAGAGGTGACATAGGGGCGATGAGAGGTGACATAGGGGCGATGAGAGGTGACATAGGGGCGATGAGAGGTGACATAGGGGAGATGAGAGGTGACATAGGGGATGAGAGGTGACATAGGGGCGATGAGAGGTGACATAGGGGCGATGAGAGGTGACATAGGATGGAGATGAGAGAGTGACATAGGGGCGATGAGAGGTGACATGAGAGGTGACATAGGGGCGATGAGAGGTGACATAGGGGTGATGAGAGGTGACATAGGGGTGACATGATGAGAGGGTGACATAGGGGCGATGAGAGGTGACATAGGGGCGATGAGAGGTGACATAGGGGCGATGAGAGAGGTGTGACATAGGGGTGATGAGAGGTGACATAGGGGCGATGAGAGAGGTGACATAGGGGCGATGAGAGGTGACATAGGGGAGAGAGGTGACATAGGGGCGATGAGAGGTGACATGGGGTGATGAGAGGTGACATGGGGACATGAGAGGTGACATAGGGGCGATGAGAGGTGACATAGGGGCGATGAGAGGTGACATAGGGGATGAGAGGTGACATAGGGGCGATGAGAGGTGACATAGGGGCGAGAGGTGACATAGGGGCGATGAGAGGTGACATAGGGGCGATGAGAGGTGACATAGGGGCGATGAGAGGTGACATAGATGAGAGGTGACATAGGGGATGAGAGGTGACATGACATGAGAGGTGACATGAGATGAGAGGTGACATAGAGAGGTGACATGATGAGAGGTG